GTAGTTCCTCGGGAAGTGACATGAGTGGTCCCTACAGACCCAAGTGTCATTATTGTGGGCAAGTTGGCCACATTAAGAGGAACTGTCCAAAACAGAATCAGTCACCGACTCAGCAATCTCAGAGTGATGCTTCTTACGATCAAGGAAGGCCACCACAGTTTGTGCCGCCTTATCAGCTACAGCTGTCAATGCTGATGCCATACCCTCTTGTGCCAACCTACCATCTGCCTCAATATACACTTTCGACCTCAAGCGTTGTGACCAGTGCAGATACCTCTGCCGCAACAATATAGGTCAGGGATACAACGACCTAATATTGGTGATAAAGGGAAGGGAAAAGCACATGGACAAGCTTATACCCTGACCGGAGGTAGTTTTGGAGGACAGGCCAGCAACACAGTGGTTAATGGTATGATTCTAATCTCTCACTCTTTAGCACATGTGTTGTTTGATACTGGTGTTACACATTCTTTCATATCAAATACTTGTTGGGAATGATGTCCTAGAAGCATAAGATGTAATAGGATATTTATTATTTACTTAATAAAAGAGTTTATTCATCATTTTATGTGTATATATTTGTGAATATTTTATGAATATCAATGAAAATTCCGTGATTATTTATGTAACCTTAAACAAAAAGCAATGTTCATAATGAATTTAATTAAAATTCAGAATCTTTAATTAAAACATTATTAATACATGTCATTCCCATTTAGAATGGAACGGTGTTATCCGCACTGTTAATATGGTGAGATATTGAATGAGTGTATTTCGCATAATGAGATTATGTGGAATAAGGACACAGACACAATATGAATTTCTAATAATTTCTGTTAAGTATAGAAATTCTATTTGAGTCTACCGATGGTCATATATAGAACAATCTTAATCCTAAGTTCTTAACAGACTCCTATTTATGGATTTGTGTCTTTTGATTTACTCGGTACGAATTCTGAGATCCTGAATCCTATTCCTTGTATTTTGGAGACATGATGAAATAGGTAGCCGGGAATGTTATTACACGAGATGGAATCCATTCCTTCTTAAGGAAGAAGTAGATAAATAATTCTCTTGAGGGTTGATTCGGTACTTGGACCAATACGAGCTCTGATTCATGAATGTATTTTATGAATCACTATCCATTAGAGAATCAATGGTACTCAAGGATAAAGAAGTAATTAGAGAGGCTAACGAATTTTACCTAGCTCTAATTATGAATTATTTATGGAGGATTGATCTATATGCAATGACTATATCAAATGGACACTTCACAATTTAGAAGTAATTTATGTCTATAATTTTGAGAGTGCAATTCCAAGTTTATAGTGAAGTAACTATTGGAATTAATAGAATTAATTAATTAATTAAAGTGTTTAATTAATTATTAATTTTATTGGAGCTCGGGATTATAGGTCCATTAGTCCTCGCGTCGTCCTAGTAATTCTACCAGACACAGAGGGTAAAATGGGAAATTTTAGAATTAAGGAATTCTATAAATTAAATACTCGAAAATAATTAATTGAGAATTAATTATTATTTAAATAATGTGATTATTTAAATTTTAATTTGAACACATCTAGATTTATCCATTTAAACTTATTTGAAAAGTTGTTCAATTTAAAATTCAAATTAATTTAAGTTTGACTTAAATTGGAATTTGAATTTGAGTCAAAATTAGACTACAGGATAAATGATGATTTTCTCTTCCTTCCCTATCTGAAATTGATGCCACATAGGGATGAGAATCTCCTATCTTGGCTGGCCACACTAAGGATAAGGGAATGAGAGATTTTGTTTCAAATTCAAATAGGAGATAATTAACAAGCTTTATCTTGGAGATAGAGATTGGATTCATTCTAAAAGTTTGACTTCTACTCTATACCTAAGAGAATAGTAGAAAATTGTGGACACAATTTTTGAGACAATTTTTGAAACAATTTTTGCCCTAATTCCAGTTATGGCCGAAATTCTCTTATAGAGGAAAGAGGAAAATTTTTCTCCAAAAAATCCCACATTGTGCATGCGTTGGTGTTTGTGGAAATTCAAGTATTTATTGTAACCCATTTTGTCTCATGTGTGCCCACACACACGTCTTCGTGGATTCTAAGAATTGACGTGAAAGACATTGGTTTTCTAAACATAAAGCTTTGGAGCAAGGATTGTTTGAAATCAAAGAACTCAAGTTATCAACCGAGTCGGCCTCCAGGTATTTTTCCTAATTGAGTTCTTAATAAATGAATTAATGAGATTAATTTATTCATGCATAAATTAATATAATCTATAGAGTATCTCAAAGGTTTTATGAAAATTTTTGTTATACACGATCCGCCTCCCCCCATGCTTCCGCATCCGAATTCGATTCGGAGACCAACAATACTTTTGTACAAACTTTGAAACTGAAATCTGAGAGCTTGGAAACCCCAATGATGTTAAACTCCCCACTAGGATGTGTGGAGGTAGCTAGTGTGTGTAGATCGTGTGAAATCACGATTGGGGGTGAGAGATTGAGAGCTGACCTGATAATCCTTCCGATGAGTCTGTTTGACGTGGTACTCGGAATGGATTAGTTAGCAAGATATGGTACGATTATTGATTGCTACCGTAGGAGAGTGACTTTGATGATTAAGTCTGGAACGGTAATTACCTACCACGTGGATATGAACCCAGTCCTGGAAGAATGACTATTGCGATATAACGTTGCGGGACGGAGAAACCTGGCATGCTCTTCTTTCCTTCTTACTTTAGAAGGTGAACCAGAGGTAACAGGAGACAATGTGAAAATTCTTGTGGTGGATGAGTTCGCAGATGTATTTCCTGATGAGTTACCCGGTTTACTGCTGGATCGGGAGATTAAATTCGGTATTGATTTGATAGCGAGAACGGCTCCAATTTATATTCCTCCCTACCGAATGGCACCTGCAGAAATGAAAGAACTAAAGAAACAGCTCGGGGAGCTAGCGGAAAAATGGTATATAAGGAATAGCACTTCCCCTTGGGGTGCACCAGTGTTGTTTGTAAAGAAGCACGACGGATCACTTTGGTTGTGCATTGACTATCGTCAATTGAATATGGTAGCTGTGAAGAATAAATACCCGTTGCCGAGGATCGATGATTTATTCGATCAGTTAGGTGGATCACAATATTACTCTAAGATTAACTTGAGGTCAGGATATCATCAGCTCAAGGAGGAAGACATTCTGAAAACTGCTTTTAGGACTCGGTATGAACATTTTAAGTTCTTGATAATGCCTTTTGGGCTAATGAATGCCCCAGCTACATTCATGGATCTAATGAACTGGGTTTTCCGGCCGTACTTGGATCAGTTTGTAATTGTTTCCATCGACGATATTTTGGTTTATTCGAAGACTTTGGAAGAACATGAGCAGCAGTTGAGAATTGTTCTTCAAACTCTTCGTGAACACCAGCTGTATGCTAAGAAAGAGAAGTGCGACTTATGGCTGACGGGAGTGAAGTTCCTTGGACATGTGACATCAGGACAAGGAATTTTTGTAGATCCTTTAAAGATTGAGACTGTGTTACAGTGTGAAAGGCCGAAGAATGTGGCAGAGATTCACAGTTTCCTTGGACTTGTCGGATATTATCGACGTTTCGTAAAGGACTTCTCGAGCAGCGCTGCATCTATGACTCGGTTGACCAGGAAAGAAGTCTGATTCGAATGGGACGCTGAGTGTGAACATGCCTTCTAGGAATTAAAGGCAAGGCTGACAAGTGCACTAGTCCTGATTATTCCCGACAGCGAAGAGGCATATGAGGTATATTCTGATGCCTCGGGGAGTGGACTTGGTTGTGTTTTGATGCAAGGTGTATGTGTTGTAGCCTACACATCTCGCCAACTGAAACTGCATGAACGGAACTACCCCACTCATGACTTGGAATTAGCAGCGGTGATATTTACTCTGAAGATATGGAGATGCTATCTTTATGGAGCAAGGTTTCAGGTCTTTTCTAACCATAAGAGTTTGAAGTACTTGTTTACTCAGAGGAGATGGGTGGAGTACATGGAAGATTATGACTTTACGTTGGAGTATCATCCAGGAAAAGCTAATGTGGTAGCTGATGCCCTTAGCAGGAAGGCTACAGGAATTATGGCGTCATTAGTTTTGGAAGACTGGAAAATGACTGAAGTTGTGAGCGATTATGAACTTCAGTACCACGAGTATTATAACCAGGCAATGGTATATAATATGATTTCTGTACCGGCCCTTGTGCAACAAGTTAAACAGAATCAATGGCAGGATCTTCATCTCTAAGGAATTTGGATTCAAATCCAGAATGGATAGCAGCTTGAGGATTGGAAAATCCGAGAGGATGGGGCACTTTACTTCTGCAACTGCGTAGCCGTTCCTAAGGTGGACGGGATCAAGAAGGCGATTCTGCGTGAGCCCATAAATCGAGGTACGCTATTCATCCGGGAAGTACTAAGATGTACCAGGATCTGAATAGGCAATACTGGTGGAGAGGTATGAAGAAAGACGTTCATGAGTAATTCTTAGATTGTGTAAGCAGGAGAGTTATAGTTTTTACTTGTTCCGGGATGGAAATGGGAGCACATCATGATGGATTTTCTGATGGGACTACCAAGAACTGAGCACAAGCACGATGCCATCTGGGTGGTGGTGGTCAGGTTGACGAAATCTACGCATTTCATATTGTTCCGTGCGACGTATTCTTAGAAGATTCTGGTTGAATTGTACCTGGAGCACATCGTGAGACTCCATGGAGTGCCATTGTCTATCACATCTGATGACGATACTCGTTTTAATGCAAGGTACTGGAAAAGTTTTTAGGAAGTCATGGGAATAGAATTGAATTTCAGCACGGCATTTCATCCTCAGACTGATGGGCAATCTGAAAGAGTTATTCAGATTCTGGAGGATATGCTTCGTGCTTGTATTCTGGATTTTGGTGGAAACTGGAAGAAATATCTTCACCTTGCTGAGTTTACTTACAACAACAACTATCAGGCCCGTATCGGTATGGCACCATTTGAAGCTCTGTATGGACGACCTTATAGATCACCTGTTTATTGGCTGAAACCAGAGGATCAACTTACTACTGGGCTAGAAGTGATTCAAGAGAATAACGAGAAGATAGCTGTGATTCGAGAACGACTGTTAACAGCTCAAAGTCGTCAAAAGAGCTATACTAACAAAAGGTGTAGGCCTTTGGAATTCCAGGAAGACAACTTCATTCTATTAAAGGTTTTTACACGCAAAGGAGTTGTTCGTTTTGGAGTGAAAGGAAAACTTCCGCCAAGGTACGTTGGACCATTCCCGATCGTACAACGAGTTGGTGTCGTGGCATATCGTCTGGCCTTACTGCCTGAGTTATCTCACGTGCATGACGTGTTCCATGTTTCCATGCTTCGCAAATGTCAACCTGAGCTAGAAGCGGTGGTGCAATGGTATGACGTTTTGACACAGTATGACCTAACGTATGAGGAGGCACCGGTTCAGATTCTTGACCAGAAGATGAAGAGTCTGCGTCATCATGAGATTCCATTAGTGAAAGTGTTATGGCAGCACCATGGAGTTGAGGAAGCAACAAGGGAGCTTGAAATGACAATGCAAGATCAGTATCCGCGTCTGTTTGCATTTTGAGGTGAGTCCTAATTTCGAGGATGAAATTCCTTAAGGGGGTGGAGTTGTAACACCCCAAAGAATTAAATAGGATTAATTAAGGAAATTAAGATTTATTAGTGTGCCTAATCTGGTTTAATTAATTGATTATTGATTAATAGATTTTTCTGACGTGTAAAGTTGAATAATTTCAAGGTATTTAAATATTCTCAGTATTTATACTTTTACCCAGAAGTGTGTATGGGCACATTTCTGGACTGTCATTTTAAATATTGGACACTAGTCTTTTCTTTTTTTTTCTTTTTCCTTTTTCTTTCCTTTTCCTTTTCTTCCTTTCTTTTCCCTTCCTGTGCATACTTTCTCTCTCTCACTCTCACTCTCTCGTTCTCTCACTCTCACTCTCTCGTTCTCTCACTCTCACTCCCTCTCTTCCATTTTGTCTCAAATCAACCAGATCTTGAACCAAGAAAGGATTTAAAGAATCTTTCAATGTCAAGAGAAGGATTTGAGGAAAGATTTCTGAAAAACCCTATCTTGAATCTCGGATTCTGTATATTAGAAAATCTATTTTGGTTCAAAATGGATTTTGATGGATTTTGAGTAAAACCATGGTAGAAATAGGAGATCTTGGGTTCTTTGGACTTGATTTAGTACTTAGAACCCGGATCCAGTGGTTTCCCTTCGAGATATTTTGATTTGGGACTTGGATTTACAGGTTTTATGCTAATTTTCTTCAGATCGCCCCTTCTGGCCATCCTGCCCTGATTCCACCGGTCGACCTATGCGGTTGACCAGTCTGCACTACATCAGGTCAACCGAAGTGCACACAACCGGTTGACCGATGATGTTGCACTGCTCTGTCACCGGTCGACTAGTGTACACTGGGTTCAACCCTGTTTTGTTGAAAAACCCTATTTTGACCTCGGTTTTTGAGGAGGACCCGAATTAGCTCCATTTGGGCACCTATAGTGAATGGATTAGCTTCTTCAATCCATGTTTTGAGATTGAAAACCCTTGGATTGATGATTTGAAACATGAAATGGGTTGTGAAATCGGTAATTGAATTATGGCACACTAATAGGAAATCAAAGAATATAATTGAGATTGAATTTCTTTAGGAATGAGAATTGGATCCTAAAGTATTGTTTTGTATCAGTGCTAGCTAAGGACTCGGATTGAAGGGCTTGAGGAAGCGCAAGCCGGAATAGAGTAACGCTATCTAGGTTTCATATTTACGAGATAGGATTTCTTACCCCCTTCCTTTGTGAGCATGTTTTCAAAAGGATTTTGGCCTTGCAAATGTTTTAAAGAAATGGCATGTTTGCGAAAGAAAAACATTTTTACCCCCATGGCTTGTTGTAGATTCTGGGGAGTATAATGAACTGTTTCATAAAGTTTAATGAATGATTTCTTAAGATAAGAGATCTTGTAAATCGATAAACCGGCTGATGTCCTAGATAGGATGTGGAATCCTTGGGGGCAGGACCCGAAACCCGGCCCGGGGTAATTTGACTTGTGCATTTGGTTGTGTAAGTAATTTATCATAGTATAAATTACTTGCTAATGCCTGTAATATGGAGATTTTTAGTTATATTTCCTTTGAGAAAAAGGATGTAAGGTTCCGGCTGTTGCGTTGGAACTGAATGTCTATATTTATTCATTTACTCATTTATTTATTTGCTTATTTACTTATTTATACAGTTATTTCAAAACATATCCTACTGGGCCTTTCGCTCACGTTTTATTGTTTTATAAATGTTAAACCCATCCCAGGCGACTCTAGGAGCAGTGTGGAGTAGCTGAGTTGCTACCAGTCGATGTGTCCATCCTCCAGGTGTATAAATGTAAGAATTGTAAAATTTTGTACACTATGGTATTTGGATTTTTAGACTGTGGTTGATGTCTGTAATGTTTTAATTACGTGTCATGTATGTACGATATTGAAGATCCTGTGGATAGATCCTGTGGGTGTAGCCTGAACAGTTATAGAGGCGGGAGTTTTAGCCTCTTGTGATGTTCTTGTAATTTATTTTCGGCACAATAGTGGGGCTCGTTTGGAGATTTATTTAATATTTCACTGTTGGTTTTTATTATTAAATGTTTAACTCCTAATCGAGCCTCCACATCACCGACCCCTGCCCCGGGGCGTGACAATATCATTTCTTAAAATATTTCATTTTAAGAAATGATACTCTTTAAAATCTCATTTTTAAAATCATTGGAAACTTAATAGCATTATTCATGTTATTTCCTTTAAAATCATTTTCTTTCAACATGTTTTGTTCTAAAACATTTTCATTGGCCAAAACCATTTAAAGTGAGGCTAACAAGGATATGGACAAGAATATCCTACCTCTCGGATGTCAAACCTGTGGCTAACTTCTTATCACCCTAACATCCACTTTCCTTAAAGCTTTGATACTCGATCTTCTCCACTAACTTTATCACAAAAGGAATATCTTAGGATATATTTCTCATTCCTAAAACGAATTAAGCCTAATCATGTTTAATTATTTCCTATTAGTGTGCCTTGACTCAAATCCAAGTCTCACAAACAATTTTATAATTCAGTTTGGGGATTCTTTAAAAATTGAAATCCAATTCACGGGTTTAGTTTCCTATTTAATTTCAGCTTAAAAATAAGTTTTTAAAGAAATTTCGGCAGCATGCCGACATAAATAAAAAAAATGTCAAACCTGCAATTCAAGTTCAATTTCAAAATAAATTCTCCAGAAATCATCAAATTTAGTTTCCAATCAATTCAACAAGTCCAATAACTGAAAACCCCCAAATTTAATTCAATTCTAACAATAATTGTTCAAATCCAAACATTAACTCAAAATTATTCAAATCTAACTAAATTTCAAATTCTCAAATCAATAACTCAAATTCAATAATGGGTTTTCAAGAAATCTTTACCTTAAAGTCATTGAAGCTTGTTTCTCACCATTTCTCTCATTTTTGTTGTTTTTATTTTTATTTTTGTGGGTCTCGGCCAGCAAGCCAAAGAGATAGAGAGAAACGGTTGGAGAGAGAGAAGGCCAGAGAGAGAAACGGCCAGCAGGAGAGAGCTCGGAGAAGAAGGAAGTGGCCGGCGGTGGAAGAAAAAGAGAGAGATAGAGAGAGATGCGGTGGGTGAACGTGAAGCCAGAGGAGAGAGAGAAAAGACAAAGAAAGAAAGAAGGAAAGAGAGAGAGAGAGAGAGGTTGCAGCCACAGGAAGGAAAAAGGAAGGAAAGGAAAAAAAAGAAAAAAAAAAGAAAAAGGAAAAAGAAAAGAAAAGGAAAAAAAAGGAAAAAAGAAAAATGCATTAAAATTTAAGTGTATTTTCAAAAACTTTTGGGGTGAAATCATAAATATTGAAAATAATTTAAAGTTCCTTAATTAATTGTGAAAATCAAATTAGGCACACTAATAACTCACAATTTAGCATAATTAAACATGTTTAATTCTAGAGGGCAATGGACTTGAGGACAATGGACTTAGTTGTGGTGTTAATTGATGATGTTGGCATTTATGAGAATGTTGAAAGAAATGGTCAGGTTGGAATTAAACTGAATGAAGTCTGTGATGGTGATGATTGTAGATTTGATGCCATTAGAGTTTGTAAAGAAAATGAATGTGATGGCCAAGTTGGAATTTAATACACAAGAGTTGTTGATTTTCTAAGGGAAATAATATGTTTTACGATTCCCTGACTTCATCGAGAAAGGATGACGCCGATCATAACCATATGGACCAAAATTTCGAGGCCGAGCAACCTAATAAACAACCGAAAAGGCAATCAAAGAAGCCAAAGTACAAGAGAACTTCGTTTACCGATCCTCAAAGTACGGTCCGCAGCCATTTATGATTGGCTCACATGATTACAGTACATATAATATTTTCAATGTATATTTAACTGATGACTTGTATAACTTTTGTAGTAGTGATTTATGAATTTTTCTTACCGTTCAGATTGGTACGGATAAGAATGGTTAGAAATGGCCGAGAGACCAAGTATGGATTGAGTTCTTTTCTTACCGTTCAGATTGGCACCGGTAAGAACGGTTAGAAATGGTCGAGAAACCAAGTATGGATTTAGTTCTTTTCTTACTGTTCAGATTGGTATCGATAATAACGCTTAGAAATGACCGAGAGATCAAATGTGGATTGTGTTAGATTGCTACAAGAAGTTTAACATATGTAATGAAAAAGTAATTATAGTAAAATTAAATCTTGGTAAAAAATTAGTAAAATAAAATTACCCACGAAATAATTTAGATACTACATTTGAGAAAAAAAAGTATTTAATACGTGTGAGGAAATAGATCTTTGCATGGAGATATATATATATATATATATATATATATGAATATATACATTGAAAAGGACATGGACATATATTTTGAGGAAAATGACTATGGACTTAGTTTTGATTGAAAGTGAAAATACACTTATGTTATTGTTGGGGCTCTTTTGGTGCGGGCCTATCGACGTGGAGGGTGCGAAACTCGTGGCCTCATTTGGTTGGTCGACGTTATATGTACGTCAGTCGTACCCTGCCACTGTGTCGGTCGGCAGAGGCAAATGAGCTTCTAAGTGTGATTTTTGACGTCGAAGATGGCCGGAGTGAAGACGTTGGCCCCGGCTGGGTTAGGCTAAACCCCGATGACCCCGAGGATAGCAGTATCTGATGGCGACATCCGTTGCGATTCCAGCTCTGAGATAGTGAAGAGTTTCTAATGAAGACTCCCAGTTAGCATATAGTGTGGGAGAGGAATGAAACCGGTTTATGGAGGAAGTTTCTAAGCATGTAATTGAGTTATATCCATTTGTTTATGAATAGAATGATTTTGATGGACGTAGTATGTTGGACGGGATAAGGCTCAGTTTTAGAAATATTAGGCTATGTATGAGGTGTTTTCAGCACTTCCAATGGGGAGAACGCCTAGAAACTTATTTTAGAGGGACTCCGCTGGAAGTTATGGAGATTAAAGTTCTTCGTCAGGCATTCCCATAAACCAAAAACCAAGAGGTGAA